ATAAATCACTGCTTCATCAGACAACAGATCTTGAGGAGTCAGGACGTCCTTCCGCTGAGCCGTCAGAAATTCTCCAACTCTGCAGATCGCATAAAAGCACCCAAGCAAGACCGCACTCCACCGAGGCCAACCCCAACTTATGCCCAAGACGGTCATGGCATGTAGCAGCGGCTCAGGTAGAGGAGGTCGATGCTGCGTTGGTTCCATAAGCTCCCACTTCGAAACTGTCTCCCAGGCAGTCATCATGAACGGCCTGAGTTGTAGAAAAGAACGCTGCATATGAGCAAGCAGCTGCCGGTAGTAAAGCAGCGGGGTGCCCATGTCATAGCTGTAATGCCCAAAAGCCACCAGAGCTAACACTGCAAGCGAGGGTACAGCCCCTGCCCAGGTGGCAAAGTCCGCGTCCGGGTATTCAGAGGAAAACCAGGACAAAAAGCTTTCAGTCACCCGCTCACGTATGGCTATAGTCGCCGGCTCCAGCAGTTCTATTCCAGCCAAGTCCACCTCGGGTCGCAATCGCGATCGCCGAGGTCCAGGGTTGACTGCTTCCCCAATGCGGCAGCAACCAGCTTTTGCACATGCAGCTACATCCAAACGTCGGCGTGCACCAAGCTTGCCAGCATCAGCCATCAGCGCCAGAGCCAAGTCCACCTCGGGTCGCAATCGCGATCGCCGAGGTCCAGAATTGATTGCTTCCCCAATGCGGCAGCAACCAGCTTTTGCACATGCAGCTACATCCAAACGTCGGCGTGCACCAAGCTTGCCAGCATCAGCCATCAGCGCCAGAGCCAAGTCCACCTCGGGTCGCAATCGCGATCGCCGAGGTCCAGGGTTGATTGCTTCCCCAATGCGGCAGCAACCAGCTTTTGCACATGCAGCTACATCCAAACGTCGGCGTGCACCAAGCTTGCCAGCATCAGCCATCAGCGCCAGAGCCAGGGTCAGACACAGTTTGCGCGGATAGGGCTCCGCCAACTTCGTGAAGGAAACCCCCCTAGCCCTGCATCGCCCTCGAAGTTTCACATGAGGCTTCAAGCACTGACAAAACAGTTTCTGCTGCTGTAGCTGCGTGTTCGTTCTAAACCTAGTGCGTTTTCTCCAAGCCGTACCATACCTGCAGTAATCCAGTCTGAAATCCCCTACAGTTTTAAAACTCAGAATCTGCTTCCAAGAGAGTTCTCGGGTCTGCCGCCACATCCAGCTGCCATCAGGATTTTCCACGAAAAAATAGATACCTAACTGCAGGCACAACAGAACCATCTCCAGAACAAATTTCAGCATCAGATTGCCTTGCTCGTTCTTTAGTTTTTGCTTTTCAGAGCAAGTAGGTAAACCTTGGGGATATTCCAAACTTCTGCAAGGAGGGGTGATGGCAACTGAAAAAGATGCGCACACCGGAGCTGCGCCCATGGCTAAAAAGCTGCGGAGTGTGAGCAACCTACTTAGCAACTGCTGCACCTTGGGATCCAGCAGGTCCTCGCTGTCATCATGCTGGATATCAAACGTAAGGACCCACACCTCCGCAACTTCAACGCACGCCTTGGCCACTCCGCGGGAACCTGAAAACAGGTCTAACACGCCTCGACAGCGGTCGAGAGCGTCCTCTAAACTGTCAAAGCTCTTGCTCCAAAGGAACTGGCTCCTAGGCAGCTGCAACAGTAGGGCACGGGCTTCACTGCAAACGCCTGTGCGCTGAACATCCTCCTTGTTCGCGCAATCTAGCGCCGCAGTCGACTGTCGGACCGATATAGGGTGCGCACCTGGGAGGGCCCCCTCAACTATCGCAGTTGAGGTTTCCTCATCCTCGCCAGGGCAGTGGGGTCGATCGTCAGACCGGCCCACCACACCCACAGGGAGACCTGGCTCGACCTGCGTCACGGTCCTGCCCGACTGCTGGGTGTAGCGCTTGCTCATTTTCTGCCCTTCTGTTGAGGAGGCTGCGTCTGTTTCCAGCGTCACAACTGCCTGCCCGACCGATATAGGGTGTGCTCCTGGGAGGGCCCCCCCAGCCACAGCAGCTGAGGTTTCCTCATCCTCACCAGGGCAGCGGGGTCGATCGTCAGCTTCACCCACAGGGAGACCTGGCTCGACCTGCGTCACGGTCAAGGGCGGCTGATGTCTGCAAGTTGAGACTCGCTGGAGCTCTGCTTCGCCGGATGCGCCGGGGCCCGATATAGGGTGTGCACCTGGGAGGGCCCCCCCGACCATCGCAGTCGAGGTTTCCTCATCCTCACCAGGGCGGAGGGGTCGGTCGCGGGACCGGCCCAAACCACCCACAGGGAGACTGTGCTCAACCTGCGTCACGGGCCATGCAGGCTGCATCGGCTGCTTCTTCTTCTTGTTCTGTGCCCAGGTCGAAAACTTTTTCTGGCGGCCATTCAATAGATTGTCAGGCATCTTCCTCCATAGCTCGCTTTCTTCAGGTAGCCCTCGCAACTGCTGCAAATCCAGCCCCCATTTGCTGAGCTCCGCATCGAAGGCGTCACAGTTGCCCTTCTTCAGCTCCTGCATCCATAGGGCTTGTTCCTTCGAGGGGCGCCGGAGAGGTGCGTCTCTCGTAGGGTCATCGGCTGGGTTCAGCTTGCTCCTCACGAACCCGTAGAAGGGTCTCACATTAGAGACAACATGATCCGGTATCGAAGCACGGATCTCTTTGTTCAAGTGTCTGGAAGACGATCGTCCCTTCACCAATGCCGCAAGACTCACCTGAGAATCCTGCAAGTGCAAGTAGTAGCTGTCGGGCTCCCTCTCTCCCAATTCTCTTTCTGCTTCCAAAGCAGCGCGCACTTCGCCAATGTTGATATGCCTCCTTTTCTTGCTCTTGCGGACCTGACCAAACGGTGCAAACACTTCGGCCTGCACTACCTCTTGCCAGAGCGGATGCATCTCATATTTCCCATCCGGCAACTCTCCTGCGTCGCATTCAAAGCCCTTCTCCTTGCAGTACGCCTGGTAAGGGCTCACCAGGCGATTCCAAAGTCCCTTTTGTAAAGCATGGCGTTGAGCTTCGGCGGTGAACTGTGGCCCCACTTCGGCGGACACTGCTGCTTCCGCTGTGGAAGAGGCATCTGATGCTACCAGCCTTGCAGAAGGCTGGAGGCGCATGTCGATCACGGTCAAAGGAAGCAATGCCACTGCCATGCACAGCTCATCCTGCAGTGCAGCTGAAAGACTGATAACAGTCTGCCGACTTCGCCCTTGCTGTGCTGCATAGATCTCTTCCAAACAACTCATGAACCTCCTCCGCAACGAAAAAATTGCCACAAGAGATCCAGCAATCATCTCAAGCAACCCAACAGTGGCATGACCAAGTTGCAGTACCTGTAAGATGATGTTGGCCAAGGGGATCGCCCGTGTCATGTTTGGACGCAATGTCCCTGCTTTGCCATCCAGTTGCACCCCCCAGAAACTGCCACACGTCTCATCAAAAACCGCCTTACCTGCATGCCTGGGCAACCCTACTCGCTCATACTGGGCTGTCACGGCCTCAATCTTCTCAGCGCAGAGACTGCTTTGTGGCCTTTCATGCCGCTTTCTAGCTTCCAGCAACACCAGATCATCAATGACCAGTCCTGCCAGCCAGCGCTGCCGAGGAGGACGACCATGAAGTGTGATGAAGTCATCCAAGTTGAAAACCTCAGACTGCAGCAAAACGCCTAAGTGGGAAGCCTGCCCAAACGCCACTGCGTTCGTGTCTCCCATAGCCATAGTCTTCAAACAGGGCACCAGTTCCGTCTCCTCATACAAACCTTTGTGAAAACACTGCAAGTTCTCGACTTCATGAGGTTGCACACGCAACTTGAAGGCGTTCCGCAGGGTGCGCTCTTCTGATATCACAAACGCGTGATAAAACTCACGCAAGTCCTCTGCAAAAAGATGCACCTCCTCTTCGGGCTCCAAGAAGAAATGCAACAGCTGATGGACTCCTGCGAGAGACTTGATCCATCTCCTCTCACTTCTTTCCAAGCAGTTGGGCGGACGCGCATCCAAAACCATGCGATCCCGCTGTGCGTCTTTCGGGATGGCAAAGGCCCCATTTTCAAAGCCTGAGCGCACCAGTCGCGCAGGTCGTAAGGCTAAACGCCCGCAGGCGTCCAGCGTTCTGAGAAACTTCAACTTGTCCTTGGGATGAAGCCTGACCTGCACCCGGGGGATCGGCCTTAGAGATTCCTCCGGTAAAAGAGCATGCTGGAGGGGATGCTCAAACATGGCTGCATTCGCATCATCCAAGAAAGGTCTTGGATCAAAACTTGGGACTCCCCAAAAACGAAGACGACCAGGTTCAAGAGCTTTTGCTGGGTGTAGAGGTGCTGCAGTAGACTTCCCTACGGCTTCCCCTTCTGCCGGCCGGTGGCCCCAGCTACGCGGCAAAACTTCCTGTCGCCCTCTGTACTTGGAAAGAGGAACTTCCCATTCAGCTCGTTGTTGAAACAGCCTTTCCAATGTCGAAGACATGGAGGGGTCTTCAGGTGATGCGCTGCTTGTCCAACTGCCACTCTGGCGCACTAAGTCTGCCAGCAACATCTCGATGCCCTCCACCTTGACCGCAGCGCGGCCCATGGCATCGCTGTCGATCTCAGGTTGCTCATTCCAGCAATCTACATGGGGCCTCAACCTCTTGACTGCCTCCCACTGCCTTTTGTTGAGGGGAGTGCCCAAGGGAGGAACCACAGCTTTCCAAGGAAGCTGCACGCCATGTAGATGATTGAGCATCAGCACGCAGAAATTCAGCCCCAACTTCCGAGCGGCGTCCTTCTGCAAACGATTTGCACCCCGCCGGTGCAGCTCAGGGAACGGAATCGGCATGGGCCAAAGAACCGTAGGTGGTGCTCTCTCCCGAGCACAAGTTGCCCTTGAATGGAACCAGCACATTTTCAACCGGGTCTTTCCCCGGGCAAGCAAAGAAAACAATGAATTCCACAACCTGTACCCTTGCACACTTGAAGCCCCTGCACCAGGGACCTTTGGGCCGCGGTCAGCGGCCCCCATATCATTGACTGCTATGGCTGGGGCGGGGCCGTCTCTGACGGTCCCTTCTTTTCGCTTTTTCCTCCTCCCTTTCCCGCTTTCTTGTCTTTTGTGCCCTTCTCCGGCTTGAAGTCTGAATTGGTGCGGGAAGGTTCGCCTTTGCCCCTGCCACTGAGCCGACGGCGCGCCTCCAGGTAGTTGTCTTTGTTCTTGACCTTCCAGAGCAGGACCTCCATCATGCGGTCGTCCAGCAGCTTCGTGCCGGTCTGCTCCCACTGATCGATCGGCCTGCGACTTTGGAAGGCTTGCATCGGAGGGCTCTGCTCCAGCAGCACTTCCTGGCTGAGCAGCCAGGACCCCGCATCGAGCGAGGTCTGGTCGCAAGCTGCAATGGCCACCGCCGCCTGAGCCCGGGCCTCCTTGTAGGCGCCTGTCCTCAGGCAGTCCCAAATCCCTGCTATGCACCAAGCGTAGCGGATTGTCGTTGGGAAGTTTCCCACACGGCTGCGATGCTCCAGCCAGGCACGGGCTGACGTCTGCTGCTGGCTGGACCCAGGGGCGGATCTCATGGTGTTGAAATCTTTTTCGAGAAGGGCTTCTATTGCACTGTAGATGGCCTTGGGGTTCTCGGTCAGAGCAGACCGGAGCTTTTGGTAGGCAGCTGCCTTCCCTCTGCTGGAGCCGGTCTGGCTCGCATCCCCTCCGTCGACATCCACATTCTCCAGCAAGCTGTCTAAGTCGCCAGCCTTCTTTGTGTCTCTGCTCAAGTTCCCTACAATCTTGGTCAACTTCAACAGTGCCTTCTCTACAGGTGTAGCGGCCACTTCTTCGATATCGGAGTCTTCGGCCGCTTCGTCTTCTTGCGAAGGAGCCTCTTCCTCCTCCTCCGTCTCGCTCAAAACTGTGGCCTTTTTCTTCTCCTTGCGACCTGTAGCCTTCGGAGCATCGCCCATCTTCGTAGGCTTCCTCAGGGTGGCTGCCAACTTTCTCAGCTGGCTGTCGGGGATACCGGCTTCGCGAGCCGAGCGAACCACAGTAGGATCCAGGCCGGGGATGAGCACCTCGCCCGGCCGCTTTGGCGAGGCCGCCACTTTCGGACGAGCCCCTACTGGAGCAGCAGGCGCGGGTGTCTGGGGTGCGGACTTCACCAGCTGGCTCATAGCTTCCTTCATCTCGAACATGGCCACCTCCATCCTGCCCATTCTCTCTTCCCATTCGTCGTCTCCTCTGCGGCCTCCGCTTGATCTTTCCTCTGCGTCGGCTTCTTCGTCGAAGCCCGGATCGGGGCCCTCGTGATGGGCACTGAGGGCTGACTGGAAAGCAAAATGCTCGTCTGAGACCTCTGCTAGACCCGGTCCATAAGGCATCGTTTCTCCTCCTTCGAGCTCGGCGCAGTAGATGTCGGCCGCTGCATCCATGTGTCGGCCAAGAACCAGCCGCCTGCTCCAAGCCCGATCCATTAAGGCTACCCACAACTTCATGGGGGCTTTCGCAAGAACCACTTCGGGCTGCACTACGTAAGCCACCAATACTTCGATCAAAACTGCTTTGCTGAGAGCTCCGCGGGGCAAAATGCGCTCCGCGACTGTACGATTCCATGCTTCAAAGGGCACGGCCACCAAGAGCTTGTTTTGGTGGACCGCAATGGGAACAAGGTTCACTTCGAGGGCTTCAGCCTCCACTTCAAATGGCAAGTGACAAAGTTGATAGCTAGTCCTGGCAACGCCCTCCTCTGTCACCAAAAGAGCGTCCAAGACATCCTGAGGTGCTATGGGTTGCTCAGGCATCACGGAGCTCGTCCGGGATCCTGAAGCCTGCAGCCTCAAACACTAACTTTGCTTCCCACTTTGTGGCAACGCCCACAAAAATTGAATCACCAGCTGATGGTCCTCTTTTGCACAAATGCTTGACAGAGGCAAAGTTGTCAACAAACAAAGGGTCGGGAAGGCGACGGCCGTTGAAATCAGCACACACAATGTAATAGCGGTTTTGCAATTTCAGCCTCTCGCGCCCTGAGGTGCCTCGAAATTCCCCACTCAAACAGCGGAGGAGAAAACGGCCAATCTGCTGAGCCAATGCGATACGACCTGCAGTGTCCGCAGTGGCAACCTCTCCTGACACTCTCGCACTGTCTCGCTCACTGGGGGCAGAAGAAATGAGTTCAAACTCACCCTCTTCTAACTCTCTCACCTTCGCCTCAAGCCTGCTAGCTCTCTCCTGCAACTGCCTAATCTCTCGCTGCAACTCGGCCAACTCAGTCCGCAAGCCAGGCAGGGAGTTTGAGCTCATCCAATGACTCGATGGAAAGGTCCCCTGACAGGTCCGGGAGCACTCAGTCGTGCTCTGACAAACCTGGCCCAAGACAGCCTGACAATCATCAAGAAATCAAAAACCGGTCCAGCTAGCAAACCAATCAAGATTCCCAGCAATAAGGATGTTGGGTCAATGGTCCAAGGCTCAGGCAATGCAGGAAGAAGTGGACAAATGTCAGGTGGAGGTATCCAGGAAGTAGGCGTGTGTTGTTTCAGAAGATCCCCAGCTAGTGCAACAAGTAAGCTGCTCACACTCCCAGCGCCAGCAGCGGTGACTAAGGGGCGCATTGAGCAGAAAAACTCACTGGACAGCTTCAACATTGAACATGCTACGTCATATATACTATAGATAATACATATCGATAGATTTCCACGTAGACATGAATACTTACACAACGATGACCCGCAAAAACTAGGAAACTTGGATGTCAAGGTCACAATCCCTTTCATGCCTGGAGCATCCCAACTGCTGTGGAGAGGGCGGCTGGTTCCCTCAACCGAGAACAGGACCAAAAGTCTCGACTTAACTTCCCCAGATCTGCTTTGGGCCACATTGAATTCCCAAGGTCTGCATAATTACTGAGAAATAAAGGAACATTTGGCTCATCGTAAACATAGGAAAACTGTCCTTCGGACAAAAAACAATAGTGTTTCCCTGGTTTTTCCTTCAAAATTGATTCATCCCCACATCCTTGATACATCGCCCAAGTTCCGCATTTTCCGGACCTTGATGGAAGCCAACATTTTCTCAGCCATAGACGCAATGCTGGCCTGGTGTGGCCAAACAGAACCTATCTTTGAAGGGCTGTTCGGATATGCATCCCAGCTAGTAAGTGAGTAAAAAACTCCTACATAACTGGAAATTTTCAGGTACAACTGGGCTATGAAACTGCACTCCCAAGTCGGGGTCTTGATTTTTTTCGGCATTTTCGAGCGCATTTTGCCACGGTATGGTACTTGCCGGGGTCTACCGTCCTGGTATCTCAGCAGCAACAGAGGCCGAAACACTGGGAGGAAGGACTGGGGAGCAAGCACGCCTAATGGCCAAGGGCCTAGGGGTTAGCAAATAATGGCCAGGAAGTGCTGCAAGGGTCTGTAAATTATATAGCTGCCAGAATCGCGCACCTCAAATAACCATGCATGAAGTATTACACGCCTTACAAATTCCCAAAAAGTAAAAAGAGTGTATAAATTCCGACGACAATCGTTGTAAATTGTTGCTCTCTTTTGGAAGGTTGCAAGGTTTCTGCATCAAATCTAAAATGATCAAGCCATCTTCCAGGTTGAACTGGCGTCCGACGCGGCTCACCTGAAATTCATGGCGGTCTTCTTTGTAATCACCCAAGCCTCAGCAGAAACACTGAAGCTGTTGATGTCGTCGTCGTCATCAAAATCATCACCATCATCATCATCAACATCATCATCATCAACATCATCATCATCATCGTTTTCTTCTTCTTCATGAACTTCATCGTAATCCTCATTACCAGTAGTACCCGCACGAGGCGGGGTGGAAGTTGCATTCAGGGTATACTGTAAGACCTTTTCTCACCTCTGGAACTTGCATGCGCCGCGCCAGCCAGGCCCGTGCATGCGTGCTTTGTGCGAACCTGTTGCGCTGTTTTTGTCCAAGAACACGACCTGCGCAGAAATATAACGGAATAAGGAAAATCATGAACAGTTATTCCATCACCACCATGTCACCTGCAATGCAACTGTTATCATTCCTCCACAAACCCACGGGAACCTGGTCCCCCCCAGGGCGGCGCGGGCTGGGCCGACGCACACACGGCAAGGTTCTCACCTTGCAAAGTGCCAAACCCGCTGGGCTAAGAGGTTTGGTTGTTTGTTCAGCAAATGGATTACGCATTCAACAACATTACACCATGGAACCCAGAAATGAGGAAATCCAATGGAAATTTGAATGAAGACTTGCAAAAACCATGTTTCAGTATATAAAACCATATTTGAAATCGTTTATATAATTTACATCTTTTTCGCCACTTGCACGAAACACCTCAGCGGGTTTGTCTCCACCTTTCCAAGCGTTCCAAAACTATATAAAATGACCCACTGGGGACCTTTCAAAATGATTCACAACTACGTGAGCCGCCGTCAAAATCAATTGCTGATGCTTGGTACGAAAATATAGGCTATCGTTTTTTTGGGGGGGGGGCCATCGCTTACCGTGTTTTGTTCAAGTCGATACTAGGTAATGCAAAAATGCAGCAGAATTGGTTTCACGGATTTGAGAATGGACTAAGGGGCGCGCGTTGTCTTTGCGTTTGCAACCATGTTGGGGGGAGTTATCTAAGCATATCATTGCTAGAATCTTTCAATGGTTCCCGATGGTTATAAGATCATTAGTTCTAATTCTATGACAACGAAAATGGGCCACCTCGCAAATGTCCCTCTTTGATAAGCCATGGCGTCAGAAAACGCGACACTTCCCCGCTCAAGAGCTCTAGAAATTGAAGATGGGACCTAAAACAACTTGATGGCCTAGGGTTGAGAACCTGTTCGTTTTTATGTTGACTTCTTCTTGTTGGAATCAAATGAATCTATCCCTCATCCGGGGCTCTTTTTTCAACAAGATTATCGCTAGGTTCTCGCTAAATTAAAACACCCTGATGGTCAAGAAAGGAAACGAAACAGGAATGTGGAACCAAAAGCACAATTGAAACAAATAAACAAAAAAAGGGAGGAAACAACGAGAAAAGGAAACGAAAGAAGAAGAATGGACAAATCAAACAAAAGGGACATACAGTAATTAATATGGATGAAATGCAGAAGCGGATTCAAAATCAATTTCGCTTTACTTCCGCAGTCCAAAGGAAATAAAAGGAACATGGAAGGAAACACAAAGGAAACACGCGAATACGCAATTCAATTTAAAGTAAGCAAATAAACGGAATTCAGAATTGGATTTAAAAATATGTTTTGTTTTAATTCAAACTCGGTTGCGCTTAGGTGAGGTTACTTCTAGTGCTTTGGGACCTGGGAGAAAAAACAACTGCCTGCAGAAAGCAACGGTTCAATCACCTTGGACCACAAATGGTATGGCAACGGCAAGAAACGTGGGCACTGCAGGTTGAATTTTCTTCATCGATTTTGCATATTGTGTGTGATATCATTTTCGAATCAAGTAATGATCTTCATGGTAATGAAAAAAACTAATAAGAATGATAATAGTAGCGATGACAATAATGAAAACAATAACAAGTGATAATAAGAAAAAATGAAATAAAACTAAATTACTTTACTTCAAGTTATCCCCACCATGACATCTATATGTTTTGTTACTGGCAAATCTTCTGGCATTCTATCTGGCATATTTTCTGGCACTTTATCTGGCATATCTTCTGGCATATCTTCTGGCATTCTACCTGGCATATCTTCTGCAATATGTTCTGGCATATCTTCTGGCATATCTTCTGACATTCTATCTGGCACTCTGTCTGGCAAATCTTCTGGCATATGCTCTGGCAAACATTCTGGCACTTTATCTGGCATACCTTCTGGCATTCTATCTGGCATACCTTCTGGCATTCTATCTGGCATATCTTCTGGCATTTTATCTGGCATATCTTCTGGCATTCTACCTGGCATATTTTCTGGCACTCTATCTGACGCTCTATCTGGCATATCTTCTGACATTCTATCTGGCATTCTATCTGCCAAATTTTCTGGCATTCTATCTGGCAAACATTCTGGCACTATCTGGCATACCTTCTGGCAGTCTATCTGTGGCAAACTGCAAAGGGTAAAACCTAGGAATTAGGTAGCTACTGTTGATAGCTAGGCAGTTCACTAGGTAGAGACGGCATGGCATGACAATAGCTCATGACCGCAGCCCCTTTTGCACAATCGTGCGCTCAAGGAAGGAAAAAGGTGCCACTGTGTGGCAGCTTGTCCAACTAGCGGGGTAGGTAACTTGTGAGAGCCCAATACGCTGACCACTACCATCTCTGCCTTTGCATGGTAGCGGAGCTGCGTGGGTAGCCCCACCTCTCCAGGTCAAAGAGCGGGCAGCTCCGCCGGCCAAGGCCGCGGGCAGCCCCGCCCAAACTGAGGACAAGCCTACGTGGCCAAGGCTGCGTAGGAGAGTCCAAACAAAACGGCTTCTCGGGATAACACCTGGGAATCCTGGAATAGGTCGACCCCTTGGGACGACCGTGACTGGCAAGCTCAGGACTGGGCAAGCCGTGGCTGGGTAGACTACTCCCAGCAAGAACCCAGAGCTCCTGCAACAAGGGACGCTGGGACAACCACTGACAACAGTTGGTGGGGACGAGGCCGACCGGACACGGATCGATCTCGCAGCAGTCGATTCGCCCAAGAAAGGAATCGGCGAGGACATCGCTCAGTGGCCAGGACAGAGGCCAGGATCCAACGGGGTCAAGAGCGAAGAGCCGCACGTGAGGCGGCAGACGCAGCAGCAACAACAGCAGGGTCAGGCCAGTCCACGGACGCGCCACCTGCTGAGCCAACACCGGCCGACCCATCGGCCGATCCACCAGCCGATCCTTCGGCTGAGCCAGACCCACCGGCACCAGAGCCGGAGTCAGTGCCTCCCACAAGCTGATAGGGCCAGCTCAAGGGCTGCTAGGAAAAGAGCCCGACTTCAGAAGGACTTGGACGAAGCCAAGCAGGCGATTGATTCGTCTGAAGCCACAAGCCTCTCAATAGAAATCCTGCAAGACGCAGGCATAGGAGTGGTTGACTGGGAAGCTGACATCTCAAGTGAAGAGAGCTTTGAGATCTGCGTTCCAGACCCTGTGTTTCAGGGCAAGGATCCAGCTGACATCCCACAGCCACACGTGGAGTCAGCAAGCAGCTCCAAGGAGCCGCTGCAGAAGTTGGCCGCACCTCCGCTGTACGCAGCGGAAGTCCCCGCGCGTGCGAGCCAGCTCACTCCAACAGTCAAGCAAGAGTTCAACAAAGTTCTTGACTTGTGTGAGCAAATCCAAGGGGCTT